TCCAGCATCGTGATTTTTTTTGGGGGGGGGGGTGTGGACACTTACTGGAGCGGAGTGGATTTCAAACGCATACACGTAAAAATCGACACCAACATAAAACTGCCGAAGCCAGTAGTAGTAGTAGTAGTAGCAGTAGTAGTAGGAGTAGGGCACAAAGTGCAAATTACAGTAAGTTATGGACGACAAATGAGAGGTATTCGCACGTGTGAACACAGATTGTATAATGCTACGGACAGGATTGAAGTGATCTTTCATCAGGTTGTAGTCGATCACTTTTGCGGCAGTGCCCCGGAAGCATTGCATTTATCGGGATAAAGGTCAAAAACTGTACCGTAGGTTTCATCAAGCGGCTAACGAGAGCACGAAATGCCCTCGGGTGGCTCGTCAGATTGGTGGCGATCTACTGTTGAAAATTTATGCCCGGAAAATGCATATACAAAATTTGGTCAACGGGATCGAGAACACCAGTGGCAGTTAGACGATTAACGACGCGAATGTCGATGATTGGTTGTTCACCGGAATCAGGGTGGTAATATACGGGCAGGATGTGATATAGTTTGTTACGGTAGTCGTGTTCATTGTTCACCAACTGTGGTGAGCCTTTCACTAGTCCATCTGTACAGAAACAAATTTGTTGTATACCGGAAATATACTGGCAAATAATGTCCCCGCCTCTTACTCTTTCTGTCACTTTCGACTAAACAATCGATATGCGTGCACTATTGCTTGGAACCAAACCTTCTCGTTCAAGACCAAACAAAAGGTAACGTTCGCGTTCGCGAATCACGACACTGGTCGACGGTGTAATATTCGGAAAGTCGACTGCTTGAAACGAATCTCGATTCACATATGTGCGTTCTATTGCATCAGGAGAAAACTCCCAACGGTAGTGTAGCTTCTGTTTGTTATCACGCAAAAATGTAAGATGCCCAGTAGAATGACCTAGAGATGATCTACTTTTCAGTTGACTGGATTGGTACACTAAATCTTGGGACTAGAAGCTACCAGTTAAGTAAAATCCCGATACGGTATCCGTGATATGTGTATCTGCATAACTTGTGGAAACTTAGATATTTAGAATTCAGCGAAAATTCACAATTTTCAATCGGAGCACATCCTGACGAGAACACGTACAGTCGTGCTTGCATCGAGATAAAATCCAGCGTGACGATAAACACGAGGGTGCAGAGCAGTCAACCAGGTGACATCGAAGCATATCATAATGACTAGAGGGAGTGAGTTATCTGAACACTATGGTACACAGGACAGAATTTGTCCGTATTCTAGCCCAGTCTTATCCATCTTTTACTCACAGACCTCAGGCTTTCCCTCCTTCTGCAAGGAGGAAACTTCAGAGCAACTGGTTTACAAATCAATCATGATTATTTTTTAATGGTGCATTAGACGAACCAACCGTAGTCACAGATGGACCGTGATGGATACGTATTTTTCTCTATTCAAAATGAACTGGACCTACAAATTACCAAATTCGTAAGCACCCGATGAGGGTGGGGGGAGGAACCAAAGCCAATGAAGATAATGAAAAATTTAGAATAATAGTAAAAAGAATCACACTCTGGCTTCGTAAGTTAGGGGCACACAACAGAAATGGGAATGAATGAGTGCGCGATGGCATGTGTGCAGTTGCACGTGCGCACACACGCACGCACGCACACACGCCGTGTTCGTGAGGGCTCGACTCACCGGCTCTTCGTGCTGTTGTTGTAAGACCACCAAACGCGATACAGAGTGGATCGAGTAATATGAGGATAAAGATGATGATGATGATGATTATACAGTTCAATTGTATGCAGTACACAAAATACATCGATCTTCTTTTGTGCAAACCGATCCCAAGACATCTCACAGAAAATTCACCACAAAACGACATTGGTGTTACAACAGGATTTTGTTTGTCCAAACATGACAACAATAATACTGATAATGTTTTTGTGCTCAAACAAGGATTGGAGTCGCAATTACGGTGAGCTTAGGACAGGTTGGAAAAAAAACAATAAGCAACATTTGCGCAGACATTAGTACTCAATTATCGAGAACATACGCCCGTGGGAATGGTATAAGTAGCCACTCGATTGTCTCATAGCATGTATGTTCATCTAGATATTTCTATGTATGTGATCATTAAACATCGACACCGAGACACTCCTGAACCCTGCGGGAACTAATCATGGAATCAATATAATCATTGACTCACGCCAATCACATATAACAGAGAGAGCCAGTCATTCTTTAAATTCGTTGGAGGGAAGCCACAAAAGCACAAATCAAAAACCCGATTTCATTATCGGGTGGAAACAATGTCTTTCAATGAGCTTACAGTTACAAGTAAACGAAAGAGACCTTCGAATCAGAAGAGTATCAGCGAAAAACGGCACGATTGTCAGCTGTTCATAGTAATTACTCTTTAATGGTACAAATCCTCGGACCAAGAGACGTACAAAACACGTTAATCGATTTTTCACCGTACCTCAGGTAAATCTGGCCCCCGATCTTAGGCCGTATACGGATAGGATGAACAAAATAAATTATTGAATTATTGGTGATTGATTCTACCGTTGTTGTGTGTACTGAAAGCCTTTGACAGGTTCTGCGGATTTGACACAGTGAATTCGGAGGTCGGATGAAACTCCATAAAATTTGTGTTCCTAAGTGGTTGAAAATAGTACATTGATGAAAAACTCGCATACGTGTGTCAAGCGTTGTGATATATGTCCCGGACTAAGTCTCAACCCATGCTGTTGAAAAGATCCCCTAAGATAATTACTGTTCCTTGATCTGATTGGGTTAGTGAAACAGAAGTCGCTCATTTGAGGAATACGACACTTACGTTTGCGCCAGGGTTCAGTAACACTGTGACAGTACACGTTTGTTTGAGTCGAGAGTGGCTGCCAGACGAATTATGGTACGAGAACATGTATGATAAAAAGAATCAGCCCACGGCTTTTTGGTGGGCGTCAGACGACGAGGCAGTGTAAAAAAGAGATGATTTTCTTAGAGGTTCACAACTGCGGCCCTCGGCTGGCTAAAACCAAACACACAGTGAGCTTGAGATGCGAACCACGCGACCAGGATGTCCAATACACCCGTGTACCCAACCGACTTGGTGCGCAGTGCAAACCGGGAGCCAGTTTCTTTTGGAACGTTTGAAACAAGGGTTATCTAGCTTCCCCAAATGAAATTTTTGCCCGTAGCTGACTAATCCAACTAGGCTTTTCATCCTCTCATTTAGGTGCAAACAAAGAGAATGCGATCAGTAGAATTTCCTAATCACATGCCGAATGAGAAGTGTTTAACAAGAGCGTTTCTCGGAGCCAGAAAGAGATTTCATAGAAAATCGCAGTTTTGCGCTTATTTGGTGCCCAGTGAATTGTGCCTCTAAACCATCAGTTAGACAAACGGAATGGCTCCAATTCAGAGTGATGTCTTGTCGTTCACAGATCAAAGAGACAACGTATCATTTTTAATTTGCAAATAGCTTAGCACTAAAACGAGTAAAAAATTTACGACCTTCCTGATGGGCTCAGAGAACAAAAGAACTTAGTCCTAAATGGGGAAGAGTGAAAAATCACGGGTAGGAAGAGCTACTGTCCAATGTGACAACTATGTTTTGTGACAGACAACCATCCCTCAAATTTGTCCTGCAAAACGCGCGGTTCAATATAAAACCACTGCTTGACTAAAACGGATATTCCACAAACACCGATGAATTCCACGGGGATTGTGGCCCCAGGCAAACTTAAAACATATCATAGTTGGATCCTTGGAAAGCCTAAATTATCGAAATAGTCCCACAGAGCACATTCCAAAACAAAACAACACAGCGGCGAACACGCTCATTTTCAGAGCTTCGTATTCAGCTTAATACATCTCAATGAGTATCACCACATGGGAATAAACTTGTCTTGGGAAAATAATAACCTCCATGATCGGATAAGTGGACAAACAAATATGTGATCGTGTTGAATCCGATTTCCAGTCTCACGATGAAATTATTCAAGAAATCGAATGAGAATGGTTGTGCGCAACACACAGATAGAGAAAAAAGTTGGGTATTGACGGAGGATGCAACTAATTTGAGGAGTGCTTTTCAAGCAACTAACACTTTGTCTCAACTTGTGAATGCAACGGAACATCAAAGCGTACAGTTAGATTAGGGGGTAAAAGGGAAGGAAGGATAAATTGAAAGCAGTATCGACGAGTAAATGGAGAACTCCGGGAGATCACTGTGATAAAGAAGGTGAGGAGGTGCACAAGCACCATTGTTAGCGATACTCACTTATATCAATCAGTAAGTCGAACCACTGATTACGATGAGCCCGATGTACCGCTCATTCAGGAAGCCTAACTACCTACAAGCCTCATGGTCATAGTTTTTTATGTTTTCTCTTACTTTTTTCCACCCATCACATGCCTTGGCAAACAGCGCGCGCCGTGACCAATTATTTCGTAACATGCGTAAACATATGCTCGCACCAACGCAGATCGACCACTTGCTCCAGTAGGCGATAGCGACCACCTGAAACTCTAGCTATACCTCAGCATTGCTTGACCTGTTTCTCCATCAGACTCATTCGATGCGATGTAGACAGCTGTGGTCGAACACCGACAGTCCATTTTTATCCCGTTCCCTTACTGATCAAGTGTCTGCACTGTAAAACAGTATTCACCGAACTGATACAGGCATACAGCCGGATGTCGCGACAGAGCCATATATGTCTCAAGTTGGTAGATGCCAAAGTCGATGATGCGATCTCAAGATGAGAATTAGCAATCCAAATAAACTAAATTTATTTACTACAGCTACCTCCCTGGTTAGTGTGAGTGTGGGGGTTGGGTTAGATCTTGCAACAATATTTTGCACTTTGAAGGTGCGAAACGCATGTCTAGGGGCAAATCAATGTTGCTATCCTCATACAAAGACAGATTGGTTGATATAATCAGATTCATTAGTTAGACGGAAAAGGAAAGATGGAGAGAGAGAAGGCAACCCTGACGAATACTGCTTTTCAAAGTGAACTCGGACGAAAGTGTCGTAAGTTAGGACTCGGCCCTAGCTATCAGTATACAGAGATAGCATAACACTCGGGGAAACGCAATGTCAAGGTATACAGCGGTCGACGGAATCAAAAGCCGCTTACAGATCGAGGAAGACAGGAATGGTTGGTGCACGAAAGGAATGAATGTGTTCTATAATTTGGCGATGGGTGGGGAATAAATTGACTCCAAATTCTCTTACGGCAAGCATGTATATATTGCTAGGCAGCCACATCTATTCAAAAGCGAGTGAAGCCAAGAAAACAAGGGATTACGGAATGGAGTTATTGGCCAAAACAGGCGCTGTACGGTAGCAAGGAACAGACCTAAAAATCACGAGGATTTAATGTGGTGTTGGAGGGAACAGATGGCTTAAGATCTGAAGCCTGGAGTGATAAATCACACGGGTCCTCAGAGGGAAAGTTGTACGACTGGACTAGATGATATCGCAGCTGCTAAACGTCAAACGGGATTAGCGAAAGTGAGAATCAAAGGCACGCTAAGTAATTGGGGACGTGAACCTGGACCACTTGACTACTATCATTACTGCTCTTATTGTGAATCAAAACGATCTCAAAACGATACAGTACGAGGAACAAATTGAAAGTTGGATACAGTGACAATAGATGAATACTTACCGGTAGAAAACTCATCGTCCCATTCAAGGTGGGCGATAAATTTCGGTGATCCAATAATTTCACGGGGTGATTCTAGACAAGGAAATAAATCTAAGCGAAATTAATTTGAACCTACCGCTGTGTTGAAGACTGACGGCTACAGGAGACAGGAAGGAAAAAGAAGTCAGATAAAAACAAAGAAACTGCAAACTACTTACAATGGGGCAATAGGATATTGGCATCTCTGGTTTGAGTTTGTTTTGAATATTGAATTGGACTTTTGGGTGCAACATTGATCTCGTTCACGAGACACATTGCCAATTTACGATGCCGCTTGGATCCGATTGTGTCCACGCTACTAGAAGATTATGAAACGAATGAATGGCGACCAGAGCGANNNTGTCGCCGGAACCGGTTCGTGGCACTTCAGCCTCTGACAAGCCCAAATTGCGCAACATCTCCTCGGCTTCTGCACGTAAATCCTGAGCGGATGCGGACGTGGACAGGGAGTTCGGGGACCCGTTCATGTACAGATCGGAGCGCACTTTTTCCCGTTTGTTTCGACTATCCCGTAGTGCAGCCAGTTTGGCCTTCTTTCGTTCCAGTTCCAATTTCCGTTCTTGTGTGGACATGTTGTTGCTGATGGTGGTGGTGGTGATCACGAGGGCACTGACACCACAACTATTGCTGCTGTTGCTGTTGTGATGAACAGTACAAAAGGAAACAAGGCACTGAAATCATTTGAAAAATTGAGCCAGTCATGGAAATCAAGTGATGAAAGTGCTGCATAAAAAAGAATCGGTGTTCAGCGCTGCTAGTTCCATATATTTTCAACGTACCGATTGCAACGTTGTGTTGGGATACCGCATTGATTTTGCTCAGCTCTGAATTGAAAAGTTCTGAATTTATTCTAGTGGATAAGAACCTGGGGGTGTATAAACGGGCTGATTGTGCAATGCAAGCTTCATTCTCGCTGGAGAATCGTGATCAAACTTTACATGATGTTTGTCACAAACAAATTTCAACTTTGCTTACAAGCCAACCTAACGGGCCCTATGTGGTTCAGTAGTCCAAGGCCTGGGGATTAGGATATCGGTTTCCACGGCTGCACAGCGGATCCCCGTGACTACGGAGTTTACCTCATCAGTTGTTGATCAAACTAAGATGTGTAATAAAAAAACCTGATTAAGAACACCCATGTCGAGTTGGACACCACAGTGATTCTGGTAACAATGTGCTATCAAATTGCCCTCAAGTGAATTTGTTACAGAACAAAGAGAAGCGTTGATGGCTTCAAGACCATTAATATTGCCTGTTAACAATCGAATGGGTCATCTCGAATGTTGCCCTTAATTGCTTGAATCACTCGCACAAGGAGATAACCGTCGACCGTGTAGCTCAGGGGCTAGGGTCTGAAGTTGGGACGCGAAGGTTCGCGGTTCGAGTCCTGACAGAGACAAAAAAAGTACGCACTGCTGAAAAGTCCCAAATAGGAAGAAACAGCTATCTTTGTCGATAATCACAAATCTCACCATCCCTTGAAATAAAAGTATCATTCTTATTCGAATTCATTCGACTAAAGCTAGCCAGTTTCTTCCTTAAGCTTGACTCTTTCACATGAGCAACTTACAATGTTCTACAG